GGAGAAGGAGCAGAGAGGAGCAGAGAGGAGGAGGAAGGAGGAGGAGGAAGGAGCAGAGAGGAGCAGAGAGGAGGAGGGAGGAGCAGAGAAGGAGCATAGAGGTGCAGAGAGGAGATGGAAGGAGACGAGAGGAGAGAGTGAGGACAGAGAGTGAGCTAGAGTGTGCAGAGAGGAGGAGCAGAGAGAAGCATAGAGGTGCAGAGAGGAGAAGGGAGGAGCAGAGAGGTGCAGAGAGGAGGAGGGAGGAGCAGAGAGGAGGAGGGGAGGAGCAGAGAGGAGCATATAGGTGCAGAGAGGAGGAGGGAGGAGCAGAGAGGTGCAGAGAGGAGGAGGGAGGAGCAGAGAGGAGCAGAGAGGAGGAGGGAGGAGCAGAGAGGTGCAGAGAGGAGGAGGGAGGAGCAGAGAGGAGGAGGGAGCAGAGAGGAGGAGGGATGAGCAGAGTGGAGCAGAGAGTAAAAGAGAGGAGCAGAGAGGAAAAGAGAGGAGCAGAGAGGAGCACAGAGGACAGGGAGGAGCAGAGAGGAAAATAGAGGAGCAGAGAGGACAGAGAGGAGCAGAGAGGAAAAGAGAGGAGCAGAGAGGCGCAGGGAGGAGCAGAGAGGAAAAGAGAGGAGTAGAGAGGCGCAGGGAGGAGCAGAGAGGAAAAGAGAGGAGTAGAGAGGACAGAGAGGAGCAGAGAGGAAAAGAGAGAAGTAGAGAGGCGCATGGAGGAGCAGAGAAGAGCAGGAGGAGCAGGGAGAAGCAGTTAGGAGCAGAGAGGCAGAATTTCAGGATAGCATAGAGAGTCGGAGGAGGACATCTGTTCCTCCCAGGGCATCTCACCAGGACTGACCCCTGGGTTATGGAACTGTTGGAACTACCGTCCAGACCTGCCTGGGTTCAAACAGCATCTGTTTTCCTTCAAATACACTGAGAATTTGATTGAACCTGTCTAGAGTTCCAGATGGGCAGGGTTTATGCACGTTTGGGACTATTCTGTTGGTTCCTTTTGAACTAGTCAACCTCAATCGAGCGCAAGTAAAGTACTTGATAGAAAACAAATACTATTTGAACTCAGGTCTGGACTACAGAGTACAGACTCAGAATTACACAATGAGGGGACTAGAGGAACATACTTCTGCTGTCTGAGATGCACTAGAAAAATGTGTGCAGATCTCTCTCTCTCTCTCTCTCTCTCTCTCTCTCTCTCTCTCTCTCTCTCTCTCTCTCTCTCTCTCTCTCTCTCTCTCTCTCTCTCTCTCTCTCTCTCTCTCTCTCTCTCTCTCTCTCTCTCTCTCTCTCTCTCTCTCTCTCTCTCTCTCTCTCTCTCTCTCTCTCTCTCTCTCTGTCAGTGGACTATGTAGAGAGGAAGGAGCCACTGTGTGGTCATAAATGGAATTACAATAGATCAGCCAAGCTGTGATGACACAAGCAAGCCAAGGCACAGAGAAAAAGGATTCACGAGCAAAGCATAGAAGTGTTATCCAACAGCCAGTGTATTATCTTCTTCTTTATTTAAACAGGTAGATCCCGATTGAGATCATAGATCATCGAGAGAGATCTCGTGCAGCCATTTAGCAGAAACACAGTCCAGTCTCCATCTTTCCCTTGTGACAACGGTGACATAATCCAGCTAGACAGACCATCTATAGCTCTGCATTGACTGTGCATCTTTCCCAAACCATCCTGTACTATCTGTACCTGGCTAAAACATACCTAGAGAACAGTAGGACAAAAGGTGTCTCTAGTTATTGTGATGAGTTGCAGCCAAGGGCTCCTTCAGTATGTCTGGTTTCTGCTGCTTCAAAGGAAGACACAGTGAATGCAGTATTATAGTCATCATCAGTCAGTTCACCAGCTAGGGAATCCCTCTAGCTGAGTTTGACTTAAGGGGAAAGATCAAAGACACTAGTCATCCAGTGTGGGAGTCAATGTGTGGGTGTGTGTGTCTGTGTGTCAGTATTGTGCTTATATGTGTGTGTCTGTGTGTCAGTATTGTGCTTATATGTAGTTGTGTGTGGGCATATTTGAGTATATTTACGTGTGTGTGTGTGTGTGTGTCAATGCTGAACTTATTTTAGGAATCGGTGTCCATGTGTCTTTCCTGCATCATGGGCCTCATACGTACACGTCTGTATGATCAAACTGTCTACCGTTCTCAGAAAATAAGTAATTTGCTAACAGCCATAGCTTTTATTCTTCTTTTTTTTACCCTACACTTTCCCCAGTCCCAACCCTCACTCCCTCCATAACAGCTCCAGAGGCATTTCAACCTGAGCAACCACATGATACAGCTTGCTATAGGGAAGAGTGGGGTAAGTTGAGCCATTTGTATTTATTTAGTACCACTATGTCAACGGAAATATAGTATTCTTTCTAGCACAGATATCTAAATATATTTCAGGATGTTGTGTACCCCTGGAAATAATCAGAATTCATGTAAACGTAACAGTTTTGAAAACGCAGCTTGTCCAACTTACCCCGGGTATGGGGTAAATTGAGCATAAGGACAGGGTAAATTGAACCACCTTGGGGTAAGTGGGTGATGGTGTCCTGTGACTGTGGGTGATGATGCTGGTAGGTCAAAGTTTAATTCATGGAATTGGGTATGGTATATTGTATATCTTTAAATGTATGCCTAAATTCAGATATAAATGCCTCTGTTCAATATCACTTACCCTTCCATGTCTTGACCAGTTGGTCTAGGACAGGGATGTTGTTTCGATGTACCAATTCATAGACAAGTTCTCTGCATGCGAGGCTACTAAGCCCATGAAACTGGTCCTCAAGATTTTTTATATGTTTAGCAAGCTCAGATTCCATGTCATCAGATAAGACCTTGTGTGCTTCTGCTACTCTATCATTGCCTCTGTTTGGCACAGGTACATGTTCATTTGTTGTTGTTGTGAATGTACCTCTTCAGTGTCATTCAGTCTATTTGTTCATCCCTTGCTGCTGCTCTAATGGACTTCTTCCCTTCTATCACTTCCTGGGCTGCTCTCTCAAGAACCTCAAGGGGGGCTAGACCCCTGCTTGTTTTACATGTGTATACACAGGACATGATGATGTCTGCTCTGTAACAATAAAAATGCACTCTTGAGTTCATACTGTATGCATGACACATTGCAAAAATACTATGTATATTATGCATAAAACTGACTAAATGTAATCATCATTTGTATGGTGGCCATTGGTTCAACTTACCCTTTGGCCATTGGCTTAACTTACCCCAAACATTTTGACAATATTAGCCTGCACAGCTAGAAGGATGCATTTTCATGCTAGGTTTAGGACCTCATATTGAAGCTTATCCATTGGTTTCTCAAATGACTGCCTCGCCTGGTTCACCAACTACTTCTCAGATAGAGTTCAATGTGTCAAATCGGAGGGCCTGTTGTCTGGACCTATGGCAGTCTCTATGGGGGTGCCACAGGGTTCAATTCTTGGGCCGACTCTTTTCTCTGTGTATATCAATGACGTCGCTCTTGCTGCTGGTGACTCTCAGATCCACCTCTACGCAGACGACACCATTTTGTATACATCTGGCCCTTCATTGGACACTGTGTTAACAAACCTCCAAACGAGCTTCAATTCCATACAACACTCCTTCAGTAGCCTCCAACTGCTCTTAAACACTAGTAAAACTAAATGCATGATCTTCAACCGAACGCTGCTTGCACCCGCCCACCCGACTAGAATCACTACACTCGACGGGTCTGACCTAGAGTATGTGGACAACTACAAATATCTAGGTGTCTGGTTAGACTGTAAACTCTCCTTCCAGACTCACATTAAGAATCTCCAATCCAAAGTTAAATCTAGAATCGGTTTCCTATTTCGCAACAAAGCCTCCTTCACTCATGCTGCCAAACATGCCCTCGTAAAACGGACTATCCTACCGATCCTTGACTTCGGCGATGTCATTTACAAAATAGCCTCCAACACTCTACTCAGCAAATTGGATGTAGTCTATCACAGTGCCATCCGTTTTGTCTCCAAAGCCCCATATAAAACCCACCACTGTGACCTGTACGCTCTTGTTGGCTGGTCCTCACTACATATTCGTCGCCAAACCCACTGGCTCCAGGCCATCTATAAATCACTGCTAGGCAAATCCCCGCCTTATCTTAGCTCATTGGTCACCATAGCAACACCCACCCGTAGTCTGCGCTCCAGCGGGTATATCTCACTGGTCATCCCCAAAGCCAACACCTCCTTTGGCCGCAATTCCTTCCAGTTCTCTGCTGCCAATGACTGGAACAAATTGCAAAAATCTCTGAAGCTGGAGACACTTATCTCCCTCACTAACTTTAAGCATCAGTTGTCAGAGCACCTTACCGATCACTGCACCTGTACACAGCCCATCTGAAATTAGCCCGCCCAACTACCTCATCCCTATATTGTTATTTATTTTGCTCATTTGTACCCCAGTATCTCTATTTGCACATCATCTCTTGCACATCTATCATTCCAGTGTTAATACTAATTGTAATTATTTTGCACTATAGCCTATTTTATTGCCTTACCTCCATAACTTGCTAAATTTGCACACACTGTATATATATGTATTTCTGTTGTATTTTTTTGACTTTGTTTTGTTTTACCCCATATGTAACTCTGTGTTGTAACCCCAACTGATGTATACAACTATCTTCTTTGGTTTAGATACAAACATCATGAAACCTATAACACAATACATTCATTTGACTTTGTGAAAATCAGTTTTTTTGACCTAACTTGCTTACCAATTTTCCATGTGGTTTCTTCCTTCACAGACTCCATGAAATGATGACCTCATCCTAAATATTTGGTCACATGATTCATTTTGTGTATGGTTTCCTAGAAACAAGGGGTGGCTTAACTAAACTTTTGGCTCAACTTACCCCACTCTCCCCTAACAGGTTTCACTTTAACAGACAGTTTCCCCTCCACAAAAGATCAAAATGATAAATCCAGCTCAAATCCCACAGGGAATTGTTCAATGTGTTTAACACACACAACCTTACACACACACACTAGACTCACCTGTCTATGTCCTGTCCTGGACCCGAGTGCCTCAGCCCTGAGCCGTTGTTGAGGGAGCCTTGTCTGGGGAGCCCGGGAGGTCTGCTTCTGTCTGCTGATACGTCCCCTGGGGGCCCCTGGTAGAGGAGGTCCTGCTGCAGTTTGGCCTTCTTCTCCTGGGGGGCCTCCTCGTGACGTCGACCCCGGGGGCCCTCAGACACGCCCCGTGGCCCTGCAGTGCCGCTGTAGAACCACGCCCCCGACTTGGTGAGGATTTCTTGTTGTTTTCGGCACAAGTTGCATACCCACATAACCTGTACACAGAGGAGAGAGGGGGTTAGATGTCTGCAGTGGGGGTGGTGGTGGTGGTGGTGGGGGGGGGGGCTTACAGCGATAAACTACAATGGAAGGAGTCATGGAATGGATCAACCCCTAGAGGAGTTGTGTCAAGTATCATTAAATAAGGATACTTGGACCTGCTAGATGTTGTAGGAAACACTGTAAATATACAAATGAGGATATGAATGATTTGATAATATTGCATACACATACAGTAGCCTTGGAGACATTGTTTAGGAGGGAGAGAATATTAGGATTGTATGTAGGACCATATCTAATTGAGGAAGTCGTGTTTAGTTCACTGGACAGTCTGTGAGTATGATGGGGAATCTGAAGTTCATATGATCTACATTCCCCTACACTCTTAGAAAAAAAGGGTTCCAAAAGGATTCTTTGGCCACCCCCATAGGATAACCCTTTTTGCATCCAGGTAGAACCATTTTTGGTTCCTGGTAGAACCTTTTTCGGTTCCATGTAGAACCCTCTGTGGAAAGGGTTCTACATGGAACCCAAAAGGGTTCTACCTGGAACCAAAAAGTGTTCGTCAAAGGTTTCTCCCTTTTAGGCTCTAGATAGAGTGGTACATACCTACACCACTTGCTTATATGGGGTACCAGCCATATAAATAAAATCACTACAATGGGTATCCCCAATCAAGTCAATGGGTTGGTAGTGGGTAGTTACAGAATCATTAATGGGTGATTCTATTTCTATGGTACTAGCTTTGTGGTGCACAATACTGTAAGTAACTGAATCTAAATAGGAAGCTAGCTGCGGCCCTACTGTTTAATACAGCTGTGTGTGTATAGCAGAGGGATGGAGAGAGACTGTATTCAACAGCTCTACAGAGGGAGGAAGTAGCACTAACTGTGATCTGCAGCCCCCTCCCTCCACATTAGCCTCATAAATCCAGGAGCCGACAGAAGCCCTGATCACTCCGCCTCAGACGCAGCGCAGCCGCCCTCAAAGCCCTGGGCTGCTTCGCAAATGGCACCCTATTCCCTACGCACTGCACTATGGGCCCTGGTCAAAAGTAGTGCACTATATTTAGCATAGGATGCCATTTGGGATGAAACCTGATCACTCCACCTCAGACGCAGCTCATCCGGCCTCACGCTTCCCTAACAATCGCCCTCCCTAATCTGGAGGAGGAGCTAAGCCCAGTGGAAAGGAAGGAATGGGCAGCCACCTGAGCTGCCTGGCGCCTCTCTCTCTCTCTCTCTCTCTCTCTCTCTCTCTCTCTCTCTCTCTCTCCCTCTCTCCCTCTCTCTCTCTCTCCCTCCCTCCCTCCCTCCCTCCCTCCCTGAGGGAGCATGGTGCAGGGCATCAGGGTCCATGAGGATCTCAGCCTGGAGGCTGATGGCCAGTGACTGACAGACTGACCGACAGCTGTGACGTACAGTAGAGAGGCAGGCAGCTGCACTTATCAGGCAGCAGTATCCTCCAGCCCCTAGCTATAGCCTGACTCTCTGGCCTTGGTCCTGGTCCTGTAGTCAGAGCATTGAGCTGACTCAGTACTGGAGTACATTACTGTGATTAATATTGCCTGGGCTGGGACTACAGAGCACACTGACTTAGTGGCTGGCTTGCTGGCTAACTGGCTGGCTTGGAGTGGAAAAACTGGGGGTCATATTCGGAAGGCCATGGCATGACCATTGTGATGTTGTCTCCTTATCACCCCAGGCAATTTTCTGAACCACCGGGGCGGGGCTACACTCTACTTCCATACTTCTCACGCACACACGCACGCACGCACACACACAACCTCCATAGCAGTCATATGCACGTGCACGCACATGCACACTCTACCTCCACACCAGGTCCCACTTCCTGTTCATTACTCCAATCTCCCTCTGTGCTTAACATAGCCCAGTTCTTTCCCAGATAGAGAGAGCCTTGTACATCAGCCAGCATGGCACCACGTGACCTACGTATTTCCTGCCCACAACTGAAAATTACATTGAGTCAGTTCTCCAATCTGCCAATAATACTGAACCACATTCTGAGCTTCAGACTGCACATGCAATGGGCTATTTTATCTCATCAGTGCATACCTAATAGTACATTAGTATTCCAAAACAGACCAGGAAGACATACAGTACACACATAGGCCAAATGAATACTGAGCAGGGCAGGCTAAGCCTAGCTCAGCCTCACACATCAATCCTATACAGGACTATATGATGTAGCATCTGATCTGCATGCACCCAAAGATAACCTGGATGACTAATGCACTAAAAAGTGAAAATGGTGAAAAATAGAAGCAGTGGTTGATCACAGTAGAGATGATTTAATGATAAGGTTTTAGGTCGAAGCCATACTCCTTAGTCACACAGAAGTGGTGTCAGCACATGTATACTCACACAGCATGTGCGCTCTAACAGTCCGTCCAGTGATGCAGCAGAGAGCGTGAGTGTGACCCACTCTGACAGACTACTGTTAGCATCTGTAATACTCCCTAAACCACACACACACACATACAAATACACACACACACACGTACACACACACACACACAGGTCAAGCAGCTGTGCTGATTGCCAGAGGTGTGTTCACTGCAGCCAGACTGCAGTCCCTCGTCCCTCCTTCCCCACCGCCTAACTCTTCACGGCTGAGTGCAGTCAGGGGGACGGGGTGGGGGAGGAAGGGGAGAGGAAGGGACAGCCCCCCCCAGGCTGGGCCATTTCTCCCTGTGTTTGCACATTTCATAGTCATTGAACCTGCACCCAAAAATAGAACATTAAAAAACCTAGTGCTCCAAACATAGCGGAGGAATAGAAATGGCATATGTAGCTCACTAAATGTCCCAGCAAACAAGGGACGTCCTGAGGACATTCGGCGACGTTCCCATTATGTCCCTTAAGGGTTTTGGCATGACGTTATCCCACTGACGTTCTGAGAACGTTCTAAGAACGTTGCATGATAGGCCCAAGGGAACGTTCTCTGGAGGACCTTTGTCTAGTTCCCTGTACGTTCCCAGGACATCACTGAGGACCATGTCAGGACCTTTTTAGGACGTACTCAGGACTTTCATTTTATTAGTCCTTAGGATGTTGCGTGATGGTCCCAAGGGAACGTTCTCTGGGGGACCTTTTTATAGTTCCCGGTTTGTCTCAGGACGTTTTTACGACATTCTTGGGATGTTGTGTCATGGTCCCCTGAATGTCCCCTGAACGTTCTTGGGACGTTGTGTCATGGTCCCCTGGAGGTTTTGTCTAGTTTGCGGTTTGTCCCGGGAACGTCCCCAAGGACGTTTTTAGGACGTTCTTTGGATGTTGTGTCATGGTACCCTGAAGGTTTTGTCTAGTTCCCGGTTTGTCCCAAGAAAGTAATGAAATGGTATGGGGGTTTTAAGGTAAGTGGTACGCACTTCAGCTAAAATAGTGTACAAATCTTTAATCAGGGAAAGGGGGATACCTAGTCAGTTGCACAACTGAATGTGTCTTCTGCATTTAACCCAACCCCTCTGACGTCCAGGGAGCAGTTGTTGTTGGGGGTTAACTGCCTTGCTCAAGAGCAGAACGGCAGATTTTTCCATCTTGGCGATTCAAGACAGCAACCTTTTGGTTACTGACCCAACGCTTTTAACCGCTAGGCTCCCTGCCACCCCTATCAATGACATCAATGACAACCTGATTACATTTGACATGATCACCCCACCTGGGATTTGAACTCACAACTTCTGGATTTGGGGTATGCTGATCTTTCTGCTGCGCCACAAAGTCTGTAGAAGGCTAATCCATCTGGTCTTGAATCAATAACTTATATCTAAGATTAGTAGGCCTAGTGTTCAGACAACCTCTTGTGTTGCAAATCTCTACAGCAAAACACTGCTATAGCTTTTTACAAGGATGGTGCTGTGGTGGTGCTTTCGATGACCAATGTAGTGTATGTTCATCACTTTCTAAAAGACGATTTACAGCATTGACTGAAACTCCTTTAAGATGGAGAGCAGCCTTCAGCTATCCCAGTTTGTGCTGAGCTGTGTTTAGCTGTCAAGCCTGAGGCCCTACAGTACATCAAAGTAAAGTTAACAGGGGAGGGAGAAGACAATCACCTCTTTCTGATGCGTATGTTCCAGTAGCCAATACTCAAGTCATTGAGCTCTCTCTTGTGGCCAAGAAGCAGCACTACACTACAACAGCATCCTACCAAAACAGTTGAGAAGAGCATGATATTATCAAACTTCAAAGCTATAGGATTTAAGTTCAACTAAACCTAACAATAAAAACACCATGGTGACCATTTTTAACTATTAAGAGAATTGCAACCATTGTTGCATTACTTGAGTCCAAATATTCACTGTTCTTTTGGGAGACAAAAACACATACTTGGTTTCATATCCTTCAGACTAAATGCATTCCCAACCATCAGATGTTACTGTATCTTGTTCATAGCATGCAGAGAACAAAAATATCACATACCATAAAGAGATGTGTGTCATGGTCAAATATTCATGTGATGTTGAATGAACTGTCATAGGTATCCTATTGCCTGTTTCCCTCTCAGTCTCACCTGGTCTGAATTTAACTGAGCTCATTAAAAACTCATTGTTTAAGGGAACATGTCTGGGAACATCTTGGCTTTGAAACTGAGTTTGCACTTGATTCGACTGTGTCTGAAACATACAGAACATATTCAATCATTCTGCACTCCTTTCCCCCACACAACACAAGTTTTTTTTGTGTTATTAAAAACATGTGTGATAAAATATATTGAACCTATCTAAGATTAAATATACCACATTCTTCTGAATCTGTGTGTGTAAAGAGCTCAAAAAGACAGATCTTGAGGGAAACATTTCTTAAAGTATATTTCATGAAACGGTGTAGCCTAAATAGAGATGAAAGAAGAGCCGACACTCACGTGCTCCAACACTGCCTGGCACGTGGTGCATTACATTTTAATGAGGTTCTAAATTTAGTGTGTCAGGCGCGTGGTAGTAATAATAATAGACTTGATGCATAAATGTATGCCCCTTTATTTTTACCAAAGTTCAGAAAGACCTGAAAGAGAAAGATGAGTGCGGCTTGAGAGATGGGGTGACTGGATTCACACAGAGAGATGGCAGATGTCTTTCACAGACCCCCCTAAGCCCTGTGACATTATTTACAAAGCCAAAGTCTATTTTTGGTCCTACTTAAGAATTTGGCATGCAATGTCGGTTTATCAAAGAGCTGTTCACCGTTTCACATACATTTTAGAAATGACCATATCTATTCAGAATTTCAGAGAACATGATGTAATTAGAACTTTCACCAACAATGAGCACTACATAGCCTAAAAAATCTATATACACGTCTTCAGACGACCTGCCCTCACCTAGGCTATAACAAGGTGTTTATAACATGTAGGGCATTCATAATAGCCTATATAATGCTTCATTCATCATTGGTCATATGATAATCGACATTAAAATACTCTGACTGCTTATGCAAACAGTGCACAATAGTCTATAGCCTACACGTGCATTGTAAATGCAGTATCCAAACCGCTGATTGTGAGCCCATCGTATTGAATGATTACCAAGCCAAGACAATCCATTTTACATTTAGCTTACCCATGGTAATGACGGGAAGTATCATGTCCGTGCAGAAAAAACAATGTATGTAATCCTAATTTCGTGGAAATGTTACGGGGCAGCGTGCGGTAAAATCAGGAAGAACCGAGGAGACAGACAGAGGCGCCGACCTTCAGCACCGTTCAGCACCGCGGACAGCACCTACTCCGACAACAGGCAGGCAGCTAGCTCTGCTCAATGTAGCCCCGTGAAGGTTACGCGATGCTAATAATGTATGTGATTTGTCCAGGCTGCAAATAATACAACCCAGTCAGACAGTCTTATGTTCCAACCATGATTTTTTCCTAAACAGATTATTTACAGAAAATAACCAAATACGTGTCTGCCACGATGTCAAATAGAAAACGTTACAGCCCCTTCATAAATGCAGGATTCCAATTTTGAAACGCGGCAAACAAAAAAAGGAGCATTCAGAAGCATCTTCATGGGAGAAAAGATGTGCAATAGTGAGCAAGAAAGCGCGCAATCATGTTTTTCCCGCCGCTGTATTAGGCCTACTAGTTAAGTCTTCATTACTAATAGATGCGGGCGTGAGTCTCCCGCTACCGGGGCTTATTCGAGCTCATTATAAATGCAGCGCGTCCCCCAGTGGTGCTGGGCGGCCCAACTGTGCTCAAAGAATCCAATGTGTGCCGTTACACGGCCGTGACGCTCAGGGACTCACCAAGCTATTTCTGATGCGCCACAACAACGTGCTCTTCTAAATTCACTGGAATATTAGGCTATTTTTTACTTTGATGAGGCCAGAAAGATCCAGTAAGTGTGAGTTCTGTTAGTTTGCAGCAGAGTGAATGAGAGCTGAGAGCCAAGAGCACCACAGCACATGTGATGTCCTCAAAAGTCGCTTTAATCACGAATGACTTGGTCTCAGGAGACTGTTGATTCCTGAGGCATTTTTTAGCAACATCAGAGGAATTGAAATGGTGAACAGTCCTGCTATAAGGACTCTGGGGGTTCAGAAAATGTACATAGTGCACAGTATGTCTTTCAAAGGCTCCACCTATATCAGGTTTGTCTAATGTGTAGCAGCTGAGCCTAGACTAGACTGCCCAGTATCAGTACTGGACTAACTGTCTAATCACACTGGATGTCATTCACCTCTTTACTGTAGGCTAATATCAAGGAAAGATATATAGTAAAATATCATATTTTATTGTCATAACCATGTATCTGATAGGCTATACTAGACTAAATAAGAAAATAAATAATCTCGGGGCTCATTCTAATGTAGCTCAAATCCACCTTCACTCCTTCTGCTTCTTCTCCTGCGTCTCTGTGAAACTCTCAGCTGCCAGTCTGGCCTATCGTATTCCAGTGTCCAACAGCTCTGATAGAGGCCCCAGACATTGAGGCGTGTAAATATTGATGCCGTTTCACAGAACAAGAGATCTCTCGTCACGGCTGTCACTGTTTGTGGGAAGGAAAGAGAATACTGATGGAAAAATAACAGATTTCACCACCACCACAACCACCACTTTTACTGACACACAAGCTTTAGATGAGACGAGCTACTGTAGGTGGTTGGGCTTACCAAAACATCCCCAACTGAGCTATATAGTCTTAGTTAATGAACTTGCAATAACATAACATCTATTCTTATTATGAGACCATGAAAATGGTTGTGTTAGAGTCTGTGTGCACGTGGCATGTGTGTGTAAACATGAAAGGGCTTTATTGTGTCCAACATGTGTAGGGCTCTAGTATAAAGTAGTTCACTATATAGGGAATAGGGTGCCATTTGAGACTTGTCCTTTAGGTCCATGGGCCCTGCCCTCAGAGGTCCAGCAGTTGGACCCCCAGTGACATCACCCTCCTTGGGTTGAAAAACTATCTGGTCACCCAGCCCTGTCTGGGAACCAAACCCCTGGATCAGCTGGCCATGAGGGCTCCGTGAGGGCTTGGAGCCCTGCAACCAGATACAGGGGAGGCAGTGTCTGTGTCAACGGTGTCCCTCTGGATAAGACAGCAGCACATCTACTGAACGTATGTACACCTCCACCTCCACCCCCACCATCCATCCATCTATCTCCATCTAACTCCATCTCCATTCCTCTATTGTACTTCTTCCACCTCCAGACCTGTAATAACAACTGTTTTGCTTTCAAATACTTTAGCTGCATGTGCCATTTGGGACGCAACTAATGTATTTTCATGGCCAAGAAGACAGATGGCTACAATACCAGGCAAACAGTGGGCAGGGCAGCAGTGGGCCTATCCTCCTACCCTTTGATCTGATCCCAGGGCAGATCTGCCAACACTCCAGCTACTCATCACACTGTCTCAACCCTGCTGCTGCTGCCTGCTGCCAGCCCACAGCCGCTACTCAACACCATCTGTAGGCTACAACTCTGGAGGAGACCCATCCTCCACCCATTATCAGTCAACAACAAAGACAGACAGGTGATGGACGGACGGTCGAGTGGAGGTGGACTCTCAGCTCATTCAGCTCAGTTATAGCTGTTTAGGGGAAACCTTGACAGGGATCTGGTCCAAACTTTGCATTGAAAATGGAACAAAGATACCGAAACATATTTTCTGCCATATACTTTATATGTCCTTTGGTCATACCAATGATCTGTTTTGGTCTGGCCTTCAGCATGATATGATTGACTCACAGATGTGATTGGTCAAAAACCATCTGACATTTGTATTCAGGGTACTGTATGTGTATATTACAGTCTGAGAAGCATCTTATGGGGCGAAGGAGCGATGCTTCTATTCAGACTTGTCTTAGTCGAGATGCGCAAAAGGTTGGAAAAGGATTTGCTAACCACTTTGTCCTCCTGTTGCAATTCCATGAGAGCAGGAATGCAGCAGACAGAGATAGAGGGAGAGAGAGAGAGAGAGAGAGAGAGAGAGAGAGAGGAGAGAGAGAGGAGAGAGAGAGAGAGAGAGAGAGAGAGAGAGAGAGAGAGAGAGAGAGAGAAGAAGAAGGAAGGGGGAGAAAGATTGTGAGTGACATTAGTACACTTTGACACATCGCATTCCGACAGTGAGGGTATCGGACGGCACCAAGCATAAACACTCAGCCACATAATAATACGTCAAAGCTAAAGCTTACTCTGTAGGAGGGATTTCACAACAAGGTTAGTTAGTTAGACAGTGGAGCAGCATGGTAATACACAGCTGCCATGAGATTTAGGGCTGTCGTGAGATGCCAGGGGAGAAGCTCCCCCCAGTGGTAAAGAAATATACTAACATTTGACATATTTAGCAGACCCTCTTATCCAGAGCTAAGTGTCTTGCTCAAGGGCACATCGACTCTGGGATTCGAACCAGAAACCTTTTGGTTACTGGCCCAACACTTATAACTGCTAGGCTACCTGACGGCCAAGTGAAAACAAGAATCCCTGCATCTAGAATCATCCCTCATCATATTTACAGTCAGAGTCTAACAAAGTCATGTAGAGAGTATTTGAATGGGATAAACATTGGTAGGAGTTGGTATATGGTATAGATCTTCAGTAGGGGATGTGTTGTGAGCTGCACCACTGTCTGTATCTGGCTTGAGGCCCAGTTTCTGATTCCACACTAATGTTTCATAACCCAGCGGAGGATTTGATTTGAGACAGAAATGGATGGACTAGTCAGGCTATTTTTGGGACCCAAGCGAGAAAGTAGCAGCAAAAACCACTCTCTCACAACAGCTGGCCTGGCCTGCATGTGATTATATGAAACGTGTTGTATTGACAAATTACTTCCACCTTCTCACTGTAATCTTACATATGCATGCATATGTGTGTGTGTGCATCATGCATGTGTGTGTGTGCGTTCATAGACACAGACAAACTAGGCTCAACCTCCTCACCTTATTTGACCGCAGAGACACTCGTCCTCCGCACCGAGCACAGAATTTCGTTTGGCAATATGAACAGAGGTGGCCGCAGCCGTCAGCGAACTTGGTTTTGTGGCAAATCCCACAGGTAGGAGAGTCGTTGGGGTTCTTCTGGGGTTCTCCTGTCGTCCCCGTCTGCGGGGTCGTATCGTCCCCCATCTTCTTTACCTGGTCCTTGTAGCTCTCAAACTGCTGGTGCAACTTCCTGCAAGGAAGGAAGGAAGGAAGGAAGGAAGCAAGAGAGGAACGCTGTTAGGAAAGGAACCGTTCAGAACAGAAACTTTGTCCTAAATGGTTCCCTAGTCCCTAGTCCCGCTAAAGTGCACTACTTTTTGCCCGTGTATAACAATGCACATGAGGTGATAGGAAGTCATTTCAGATGTGCCCTTGGATCTTGTGTAGTCGTTGTACAGGTACATATCAGAACTTTGTGCTGTAGCTAACTGCAGGTGTGTGTGATGTCCATTAGTGTTGGTAGATAGCAAAGCAAAGTGGTGTATGTAGCTCTGATTCCTTTGAAAGAGAAATGTAGGGAACACTTTCTATGAAGAACATGCTTTATAACGTCCTTGATTTAATACACTCATAGAAAGTGTAACCAAAATGTTTTGTAAACCAAATAACCTACAATTCGTTACATACAACTGTCAGAGTTGGAAATGTTTCAGAGTATTTTCTGCATTGCATATTGTTGTAATGTTACTATAGATCTCCATTCACATAGAGCTGCACCCATCTTTACTGAAACAAGGCGGGCCAGGTAGGAAGGTATAGAGTTCGCATTGCAAGTTAAAGAGCCTAACTTAATTCCACTGACTCAGGTTCCCGGCGTTTAATTAATCATTTGTACTTGTGTTTCTATTTCAGGGCGGGAGACGTAAGCTTCAGGGCGGGGCCGAGACGTAAACTTCAGGGCGGGGCCGAGACATAAGCTAATACCGCCCTCCAAATCTCAATGCTCACACTTCAGTGAAAAGAACACGTCAAATCAGTTTTTTCACAGCAACAACATGACTGGGTAGCCTACACTACAGGATCCATTCAACCATCGGCTAACAGTGCCTTTAGACAGTGAAGAGGAATCAGATTATTGTGTAGGCCTCCATGTGGTTTACTGACTAGTGCCCTGTAAAAAAAAGGGTGCCAAATAGGGAAAAGGGTGCCATTTGGAAGTACGCCTTCATTTTCTTTTAGCTCAACATCTTCTTTGATCTGCAGCGCCTGCTCAAAACACTAGATGTACATTCAGTGTTATCTTCTCCTACACTCTCCCAATACACCCACCCACCCAGACACCCCCACACATGACAGGTCCAACTGGACCTGAGGACCAGAGGACCCTGAAACGCTTCCTCACACAGACAGACCAGCATGCATTTTGTATGACACATGTCAATCGAGTGTATCCTTGGAAACGAAAACCCTGGCTGACTTCATAATATGGCGATTAGAATTGGTTTCTTCTCCACATTTTCCCCTGCAACATTCATTAGTCACGTGAATTATTAACCAGAGCTATCGTTTTACCGTCCGTATGCATGGCTTGGTGTCGTGGAGGTGATAAACATGCTGCCTTTTCTTTCCCACAAACAGGCCTCTTATTTAGATCCCAAATGTAATTGGTGCGTGACTCGATGTGGCTTGGCCCTGTCTGACGACTATCACCCTGCTGAACACTAGATAGATGTGTGCCACCCTGCCATGCTACTGTACCCACACTGGATAAATAACACTGGGCTACTAATGTCACTATATACTGAACACAGATTAGACCTGGGACGTGGTGGTGTAGTGTTGTTTAACACACACACACACACACACACACACACACACAGATACCAGACCAAATCTACGGATAGAAGAATTGAAATGTGCATATTGAGTAGCAGTGTCTGCTGTTTAGAGCAGGGGTTCTCATAGTGGGGTCCGCAGTACTGGAGGGGGTCCACGGCCAGATACAACAAAATAAGAATATTTCTAACCACAGATTACATTTGGGCCAAGGGATCCGTGGAATAAGTTTAGAGGGTGTAATACAATACAATAAAATACAATTTAATATAATTAATCTACAACTTATGTTCTTAACCCTGGGTCAAATGGGCCTGCGAGGCTCACAGGGATTTTGGTATCCACAGTGCTCCACCAATTAAAATAATTTCAATTTAATACTATTTGTACGAATTGAGTCTTGAAGAATATAACTTATAAATGTCTCATGAGTTTAGTTCAACTGTCTTAGCCCATCAGAACCTAAAATAGCTTGTTTTACTCTAATGTTTGTAAACAATGTAAATGTAAACAAACACTGTATAGCCTCAAAACATTGATAGAACTATAATTATGATTTCATGGACAGTCATTCCTTGCATCCATAGCTCTGTCTATGAATTTGAGAGTGGTTACATTTCTCCAGGCCAAACCCTCAGTTTTTTACCAAAACACAGGTGGGATGACCACTTTGTTATTGTTTCCATTAAGGACTCTAGTTTAAGCTTTAAAACTGCTAACTTTTCTCTCTGCCTCATGGCAAAACATGTAGAATTGCAGGATATTAGCTTAGAAGCTGTAACAACAAAACATCTCTCTGCCCCATGACAAAATGTCTAAAACAGCAGGAAATTAGCTTGAAAACTACAATTTCTTTGTCTCCGATGCCAAGAAGGGGGTCTTTAAAATGTTTCTTCCCAGGGCCCGAAACCTGGTTAGTCTGGCAATGCACTACCGAAGTCAAAGTAAAAGTCCTTGCTATTTTTATCTCACTCGAGTTATGAGGGGGTCCCTGATGAATTTGCTATCACAAAAGGGGTCCCCGGCCCCAAAAAGTTTGAAAACCCAGGTTTAGAGAGCGTATAGATGCTCCTAGATTCACTAGAGAGAGTCACTAGAGAGCTACCATTCAAGAGACTCTCAACAGGAAGAGGAGGAGGGAGGGGAGTGAGGGTTAGGAGAGGTAGGTAGGAGGTAGAAGGAGAGAGGAGAGAGGAGGGGGTAGAGGAGAGGGTAGGAGAGAAGGAGGAAGAGAGGGAAAGGAAGGGGTTGGGACTCTCCAGAGTGAGAGGGGAGGGGAGAGGAGATGGCCAGGGAGAGGGAGAGGGTTAGGGGAGGAGGAGAGAGGGAGAGGAGGGAGAGGAAGGGAGAGGGGGAGAGGGAGGAGGAGAGGGAAAGTAGAGGGGAGAGAGGGGAGGAGGAGAGAAGGTAGGAGGAGGAGAGAGGGAGGAGGAGAGAAGAGAGGGGGAGAGAGGAGGAGGAGAGAGGAGGAGGAGAGGAAGAGAGGAGGAGAGGGAGAGAGAGGGAGGAGAAGGAGAAGTAGAGGAGGAGAGCGGGAGGAGGAGAGAAGTAGAGGAGGAGAGAGGGAGGAGGAGAGAAGTAGAGGAGGAGAGAGGGAGGAGGAGAGAAGTAGAGGAGGAGAGAGGGAGGAGGAGAGAAGTAGAGGAGGAGAGAGGGAGGAGGAGAGAGGGATATTGAGAGGTGCAGGCAGCTGGTGGATGGCTCCCGTTCCCCATCCGTCTCCCCCTCGGTCAAACGTGGTCAAACGCGCATGACACAGCTGACGTGTAATCATATGCTGCTCATTGTCCCAGCTCTGACTGTCTATCCGACCCTTCTTACCTCTGAACCACACCAACACAGGCTGCATAAACAGGCTGAAACATGAGCCCTGCCCTGGCCTCTACTGTATACTGTTTGACAGAGTCAACATAGTATCCCTACCAGGACCCAGCCAAGCCCGGCAACTCAATACGTGTCTGCCTGTTGGCCTTATGTATGAACTCAGAGGGTTATCTTATCAAGACATGCCTTTTAAATGTTTGAAGTTGTGTTTCTTGTGGATGTTTGACTGGGTGACATAACATTGATGTTACCGTCTGATGTCATGTTTCTGTGATATAGCACAGTCACAGTGCACGTCAGATGCATTTATTCAACCACAATGCAATATTGATATAGTCTATTACTATTTTGGCACTATCACAGTTGTAAAATGTAAATGTGTGTCACTTAATCCAAAAATATATAATGCATTTTATACATGCAATTTGTTGTATTCTTCACCATAGTAAAATAATCCTAAAGGATATGGTCATTTTCCTGAAGAAATATTGTGCGCTTGCTTCAGCTGTCCAAAACTATCCTTTGAAAGCAGACTTGACTCTTGGCCATAGGCAGCGTGTCCATAAGGTTTCCCCTAAAGTAAATTCAATTAAATTGCCAAACTGATATAGCCTAATTAGCCTAATCCTGTCTATACAGAAATACATCAAATCATTCAAAATAGGTTACTACACCAGAAATCATTAGCTTCTTTAAAAAAAAGTATGTGGAATTTTTTTAAATCACATAGCCTGTCAGAAGGGCCTGCAATTTGGGCAGCGTGCACAGCAAATACCAAATAGATGATAATTGAGTTGCAAAAGTGAAAGAGTGAAAAAGAGGCCCAGCCAGGCATTTCGCAATATTTCAAAATACAATTGCGGGAAAACAGTTTGAAAAGCAAATGGCTATTGCTGTAAGGAGAAGACCATGACAAGACTCTAATCTGTCTGTTATCAAAATTCTCAATTTCATTGAGCAAACAGTAGCCACTATCTTATTGGCACCAGCCAAGCATCGGCCGTATCCCCGGTTGAGTGCGTATATTCACTCTCTTTATCATTGAGTCAGTGTCACTTGAAAGTTTGTTTTTGGACAATAATTTCCTCCTCCATTTTGTATTTCTGTCTCCTCTTTTTGTAGGCCTATTAGATAGTTGCAGACAACGTTGTTTTTGATTGATCTGTTTGTTAGTCAGCAGAGTATAAACTACCCTGTAATTTTTGTCATATTAAAAAAGATTCAGCTGTTTATGTGCGAGCATCAAGCTCTACACTGAGGGCTCATGACTCTATGTATCATGCAGTCCTTTGTTTTGTCACCAATCAGAGATGTCTATCTAACTCACCATTGTGATCTGTAGGGTAGACATCACTAGCAACACGCAGGCTCTAACACTGGTACATTCTAATTTATAAGGTCATTTTAGCAAAACAGACATTTTATCTATCCTCTCTTCTAGTTTGAAATAAAAACACATTCAAGCTCAGATCTCAATCTTGTTTTAGGCTAACAGTCACGAAAATTTGAACTGAGCATGGAAAAAAAGGTTATTTCATTACTCAGCCCCCTGGTCTTGGAATTCCCTCCAAGCCAACCTAAAACTTCAGGACCTGGTGTCCCTGGAGGAGTTCAATGGACAAATAGACGAACAGGTTGTTGAGACATGTAATTGTTTCTAGTTGTCACCCGATGTCAATATTTTGCGTTGCCTTCTGTAAGGAAGAACGTTGTTTTACTTCACACTCACCACACACATGCCAGCACAAACACACACACACACATACACACACACACACACATACACACACACACACACACACACACACACACACACACACACACACACACATCCACTGTGTGTGTGCTGTTGTATTTGTGCTATTGCCAGTGTCTTCTGTCTGTGTTGTCTGTTTTGTCTTTCATTGTTTTTTTGTTTTTTTTATCCCAGCCCAGGAGGCCTTTTGCCTCTTGCCAGGCCGTCATTGTAAATAAGAATTTGTTCTTATTGACTTGCCTGGTTAAATAAAGGTGAAATAAAAATAAAAATAAACTTCCAGTCATATAAAGTGTAGTAGAATTGCATGAAATGTGTTTATAAAAGGCCACATTTTTCCCGAACAGTGATTGAGTTATATTATTAGCATAAATTACGACTATCCAATTTACTCATCACATTAGGAATAGTAAGTCTGCAAAAGCGATGATACATGGAATGCTTTATTATAAAGGTGAATTTCTATGGTGAAAATGAGCTTCCCCAAACTTGAGACTCACGCGCCGCCTATGCTCTTGGCACTATCTGACAGGTGAGAGGTCAAACATACTGTACAGACCACACTAGTCAGCCATGCTGTATGTTTAGGCCTACTACAGTAACTGTCTGGTTCAGGGGCAGACAGTGAACATCTTACTTACGTCTCAGTCTCAGTCTCAGTCTCAGTCACAGTCTCAGGCTCAGGCTCCTTCTCATTTTGGGACTTTTGCTGCGGTTGCAGCACGTTATTTACCAGCTCAGTGATCCCACTAAAGGGACTAAACCACCTGTTCAAATAAGTAAGGAAACAACGTGACCGTACACCACACCACAGAAAGATGAAGAATCAACACATTGTCTGGGCTGGCTGAGACAAGGAAGTCCCCTATTAAAGTGCACACACACCCAGCAAGGTTACACAAAGTCAGAGTGGTGGTACTGTACGGAAGCCTAGCAGGGACATTCACTGTGATCACAGCACACTAAAAAAGAGGGACAGTCAACCACAGTTACAACCACAGAGAAAGAGGAGGAGAGGAAGTATAAAAGCAGGAAAGAAGCTACAGCCAATGGAAATGGGAATTGCATCGAATGGTCAGCCAATAGTTAGGAAGGTGGTAGTAGAGTAGTCGTAGTAGTATAACGTTTCCATATAGATCAGATAGTTGCTGTGTTTAGAGGTTGATTTGGACACAATGCAGGACAGAAGGTAGCTGAATAGAAGCATCCAGTTCACACGGATGAGGAAGTAAGGAGCCGATAGGTGAAGCTCTCTTACAAGCCAATCAGAATGCAAATGACATACCAGGGCGAGCCAATACCAGGGGAGAAGGGGTGGGGCCCGCTGAGACAGGAAGCCACATTGACCAAAGGAAGAAGTGTCAAAGCCTAGAGCACTCTGGGTAATGTGTTACTTACTGTGCTGGCTGAGGCTTTTGTTCTTCTTTGACCCTAAAAAGATAAGTGTGGACAGCTCAGTGCTCAGAGCATTCACAACACAAAGACATGGAGAACATACATAAAACAACACAAATAAACACATACATAGACATAAACAATGATGATGATGATGATTATTATTACTGTATATTGTAATAGCTTTAAGGAATGCAGTATAATCAAGATATCAGTGATGATGATGATGATGATGATGATTATGAACATAATTACTGTATATTGTAATAGCTTTAAGGCAAATTATCAAGATATCAGTGATGATGATGATGATGATGATGATGATGATGATGATGATGATGATGATGATGATCATGATCATGATGATGATGACAAAAAAACACAACAATAAAAATCATAACATTTAAAATGACAGTAAAAACATAAATAAGAATGATTCACAGGAACTAAATTAAAAAATATTGTGCTGTCATGATATTTGTGCTGTCATGTCACACCTGAATTGATTGAATAAGACTCTAGAACTCTAGCTGAGGGTCTCACTACTTCCAAACTTCCAAACCATTCACCAATCATTTCTAAACACATTTACAGCAGCAGACACATCCTGTTAGAAAAAGTCCTCTTTGGTGCAGAGCCTGTGGTCTAGCGGTAACACTCCCGGCTCCAGTCACATACAGGTATATGCCTCTCTTCACTGGAAAACCAGGGTTTAATCCCTGTATCCACTCTTCCTCATGGTACTAGTAATCAACACATCACCCCTCACAACAAAGAGATCAGGTGACAAGGTATTGACAACAGTCAACAGTGTGACAACCAGGCTCATGTCCATAGACTGAATATCAAACATGATGTCTACAGACAGACACTGTAAGACCAGTCTCAAACACACAGACTGTCTCTGTCGCCACGACTATTGATTTTTATATCTTCTTATCTCTTTTTCTGTCTCTTTTTCTAGTTTTGACCCTCTCTGTTTCACATTATATGTAACCAGAAGCCTCCAGGTTTGACTGTCTTTGACTGAGGTTACACTGCTCTCTAGTGGACAGACGTGTGGTGCCTCTGCTAAACGTAAGAGGGGAAGAGATATACACAGAACAGTAATAATAAACATGTCCAGTGTAGCTGTTGAGTTGGAGCTGAGGTTGACTTGGAGTTCTGAGGTCATAGGTGGCACAGCCCACTCCCCAGCCCCAGCCCGATACCCACCCTGCAGCCGTATACCTTATCCCCAGCTGTATACCCAAACCCAGCCCCAAATCTATACTCACAGTCCCAGCCCCAGCCCTATACTCAACCCCAGCCCTAAGGCCAACCCCAGCACCAGCCCCATACTCCAGCCCTATACTCCAGCCCCAGCCCTATACCCCAGCCCCAGCACTATACCCCAACCCCAGCACTATACCCCAGCCCCAGTACTATACCCCAGCCCCAGCACTATACCCCAACCCCAGCACTATACCCCAACCCCAGTACTATACCCCAACCCCAATACTATACCCCAACCCCAATGCTATACCCCAACCCCAATACTACCCCAGCCTCATCTGAGAGCGTGAGAGTACCTCCTTGAGAGAGAGTGGAGTTGACGTAGCTCCTGCCGTGCAGACAGACAGCAGGACAATTACACAACGACCTGTCACAGAGAGGGTGGTGTTTAGGGAAGAACTCCTAGATGTAATGAATGTGGCTCCCTGAAGCAGCCAGCTCCCCACACGAGGCCAGACTGAGAGACCTAGCTCACCTCAACTGCAGACACACCACACCACAACGTTGGGTGGGTCCCAAATGGCACCCTATTCTATATAGGGAATAGTGAGCAATTTGGCATGCACACCAGAACGTGAACATTCTCAGTCTAGTAGTGACACACATCCACCAGGGAGAAAAGGATTAATAACCCTGACTTCAGTTAGACGCAATCTTGTATGAAATTGTGACTGTGCCAGTGTGTATATACAGTAAATTTAGATACAATTCAGTCTATGACTGTGAGGTAAAAATAAATACTGCGACCCTGTGCAGCTCGCAGCTCTTCGAATGTGCAGCTCTACAGCACAGTGTCAACCCTCTCTAGATTGTGCAGCTCTATGGCACAGTGTGAACCCTCTCTCAATTTTAAGCTCTATGGCATGGTGTCAACCCTCTCTAGATTGTGCAGCTCTATGGTACAGTGTCAACTCTCTCTAGATTTTAAGCTCTATGGCACAGTGTCAACCCTCTCTAGATTTTAAGATCTATGGCATGGTGTCAACCCTCTCTAGATTTTAAGCTCTATGGCATGGTGTCAACCCTCTCTAGATTGTGCAGCTCTATGGCATGGTGTCAACCCTCTCTAGGTTGTGCAGCTCTACTTTATGGCGTGGGCCAGTCTTACATCATGGAAGAGAAGCAGGAAGTGTCTGTGAGCCCTGGGCCAGGCCCACTGTTCACACCACAGGACGTTACCATGACCACCTGCTCCTACTTCACACCTTCTGTAGCTGGACAGGACCAGCTCTCTCTGTTGTTTTATTCATACATCTTCACACGCCTGTCCCAAATGGAACCCTATTCCCTATATAGTCCACTTCTTTTGACAAGGGCCCTTAGGGAATAGCATACGATTTGAGACGCACTCTATATGACCGACTGGGTTCAAACCCAGGTCTCCTCCAGCCACCACAATGCTGTGTTAGCCTACTGAGCCAAAGGCATCAGCTCGTGGAACTAACTCAGGTTAAGTAATGCAGGTCTCGCTCACTCTCTCCCTCCCTCCACCTTTCTCTGTTTCTCCCTCCCTCCCTCTCCTTCTCCCCCTCTTTCTCCTTCTCTCTCTCCCTCTCTCTCTACCCCTCAATAACCTGCCTGTTCCTAAGTCAAGTCAGAGTAGAAGAACCACATCGATGTGACATCTATGCCCTGAATCATCACATTCACACCATGCAGCCAGTCAGGAGAACAAGCGGTGCATCCCAAATGGCACCCTATTCCCTATATAGTGCACTATGTTTGACCAGGGCCCATAGGGCTCTGGTCAACATTTGTGCACTATGTAGGTAATGGGGTGCCATTTGGGACGCAGATAAGGTTTCCCACATGTCATAGGTGCCTGGGCAGGCAGGTCCAACAGCAGCCAAAACCCTTCTAATCGTTTCTGATGGGCTGAATAAATAGAACCACAGTCTGCCCATCCTATCAGTCAGTCACAGGCTAACGTGACATAACTAGAAGAGATACAGTACACAGTCATGAGTCAATGTACAGTAAAGTGAAGGCTCACAAGGAGTGTGCGATCACTCACTGACATCCAAGTGTCTGAGGATGTCACACAAAGTTAAGGACACACAAATATCTAGTAGTTGTCACGAACGTTGAGAGACGGGTCAGACCAAGGTGCAGCGTGAAAAGCGTACATGTTTATTTAACCCAAATAAACATACAAACAAAGCAAGAAACAACGTAACGTGAAGTCCTCCGGCTATACACATACAAGCCTATACAGGAACACAAACAAGATCCCACAACCCAGGCAGGAAAACTGGCTGCCTAAGTATGATCCCCAATCAGAGACAACGAGCGACAGCTGCCTCTGATTGGGAACCACACCCGGCCAAACATAGAAATACAATACACAGAGTTTCACACCCTGACCAAACTACCTAGAGAATAACAGTCTCTCCAGGTCAGGGCATGACAGTACCCCCCCCCCCCCCCCCCCAAAGGTGCGTACTCCGGCTGCACCAACCTGACTCATTAGGGTAGTGGGCATTCCGCCTCGGAGGCGGATCCGGCTCTGGGCGTGACGACCTCTCCCTCTCTGCCTCCCCGTTGCGCCCCTGGTCTGGTCTGGACCTCGGCGCGATGCTTCCCCTCTCCTTCCTCCCACGGTGCACCAAGCCCTGTCTGGACCCTGGTGTGGGAGACCCCGAACCTGGAGAGGGGCTGACGTCTGGGCCTGGATCGGCAATCCTCCCGCGATGCACCAAGCCCTGTCTGGACCCTGCTGTGGGAGACCCCGACCCTGGAGAGGGGCTGACTTCTGGGTCTGGACTGGAGCCGCTGACCGGAGCTGAACTGGACCCCGGTGGAGCGGACTGCTCTGGCTCCGGAGTGGAACCGCTGACCGGAGCTGGACTAGGCACCGGTGGAGCGGACTGCTCTGGCTCCGGAGTGGATCCGCTGACCGGAGCTGGAATAGGCACCGGTGGAGCGGACTGCTCTGGCTCCGGAGTGGAACCGCTGACCGGAGCTGGACTAGGCACCGGTGGAGCGGACTGCTCTGGCTCCGGAGTGGAGCCGCTGACCGGAGCTGGACCAGGCACCGGTGGAACGGGCACGGGCCGTGCCGGACTGGGAACACGCACCACTGGCTTGGTGCGAGGAGCAGGAACGGGCCGGGCCGGACTGGGGACACACACCACTGGTCTGGGGCGAGGAGCAGGAACGGGCCGGGCCAGACTGGAGACATGCACCACCGGTCTGGTGCGAGGAGCAGGAACGGGCCGGGCTGGACTGGGAACACACACCACTTGTCTGGTGTGAGGAGCAGGCACGGGCTGTACCGGACTGGGAACACGCA